GGGGGGGGGGGGGGTAGTTGTGCAGCCTTTTACGTGTCTGTGGTCCCTTCTCCAGCTCATTTTATTCTAAGTTGTGATGCTATTGTTTTGACTTTAAAATGAAATGCTGGACCAAAGATCCCCCCTCCTCTACCCTAAAAAATAATTCTACTCTACCTGCAATAATAAATAGAACCTCTGTGGTCTTGTGCCTAACAGTTGGGTCAGTGTCTTTTAGTAATGTCTTTAAGCTTGCCGCAATACCTACAAGGCAAAGGTATCCATGGTTCTGATAAAAGTTGTCAGAAGAAATGTGACTGATCATAATATCTGACTCAATTACATTTTCACATGCTTTCAGTTCTACCTCACTGAGCTGCACCAATGCTGTACTTTGCAGTGTGATTAGCGATGACAAGCAGCTTTTTGCTAGGAATATTCTTGGGGTGTATGTTACGTCATAGCTGCAATGTTGATTGACGACAATAACAAAGCATTCCTTGTTAGCCTCTCTTATTAGATAAACCAACACAGAGGCTGTTTTACGATTATTTATATGTCAAGGGATTTTGAGAGGTGGTTGCACCCCAAGAATAAAGAACAGTCTTACTTAATTCCTCCTTCTTTATGATCACTCCATCACAAGTAAAATAGAGTGGCTTGATCCTCATAGGCTACAAATTTGTCAGGACAGAAAATTATTGAAATGTCTGTTATAAGAAGCTGTAGATTCTTGTTTATAATCTTGCTCTACACATCTGTTTACTCACCCACTCTCAATCCCTCAGTAATATACTCAGAATTGTGCATCACATCACATAGGGCCATTAAAGCTTTCTGTCTTGTTAGGAGGTCGGCACTGTTGAGCTCTCGATTCTTTAGAGAAACCACAATAATTTATTTTAGTTCGAGACAGTAAACTTTAAAAACAATACAAGCTTTTAATATCAAAAGAACATTCTGTTATCGAAAGGAAAAAGACCATGAATTATAGAATACACAAACGAATGGAAAGTAAAAAAAAAGAAAATTACTTATATAAAGTATTGTTTTAACATGTAGTCAAGAGAATCTTAAGTTAGAGCTTAAAATTAGACAATCTAGCAATAACAATTTAAGATTTTCGTTAATAAGTTAAATCTATCATGTGTATTCGAATGCCTCAGGTGATATTTTGTAGTCAAACTTTTTCTACAAAAACGCAAAATTCTTACCAGCTTTGGCAATGCTCTGTCACCATACGCAAGCATTGCTTTCGTTGGATCAATATCTGGTGGTAATTTAACAGAAATAATAGTAGTAGCCATTTTATTGTAGAGAAATTCGGAGGAAAACTCTTTCTTGTGAGCTCTAAAAACAAATATGGCGGTACGGTTGCTACGGTAACAAGATATTCTTCTTTGATTCGCGGTGCATTATGGATAAAGCACAGGCATCCCGCAAAAAAAGTAAACAAATGAGAGGAAACGGGTTTACAACAATTTTTGAAATAATATCATTATTATATATCTTTATAACTTTTTTAATTTATTATTTCTACATGTATTTCTTTAAATTTATCTTTCCTTTTTGGAGTTTAAAAAAATGTATGTGAAAGAGACTGGCTGGTGACTACTGGTTATAGCTTAACACGTGACCTGGTTGTAAATTTTCGAACTGTAAAGATCCATCAGGTTGATACTGATCAAGACAGCCATAGAGGTAAAGGTAAAAGTAAATTATTTTACTTCGATAACGCGGAGAATGGTTGCCCAAGTCTTCCGAGCCAAGGCCTCATGTTTATTGCGCTCAAAGGTGCGCCCTCTACCCCCTCTTACTATCAGTGTTCCTTTTTACGGGCATTTAAAGCTAATAGACCTCTTCGGCTTGGGGTAATGTTTTCCCATTTCAGACCACGTGTCATTCCCTTGAGAATGAGATTTTTTGTTTGAGCTGTATCCATATTCATGTGTCTTCTCTTGTGCAGCCGAGCGCAAGCCTTAAACAAAGGAATGATACTCTAGGGAATGAAATGTGGTCTGAAATGGGAAAACATTACCCCTAGCCGAAGAGCTAGGTCTATTAACGCTACACAGAACATAGAGAAGTCGAAACAGACGTGGAGCTCCTAAGGATCGAACTATGGACCTCTAGCTCTGAAGGCCGTGCACTAGCGCACTATAACAAACTGAGYTACGCCTGCTCCTAGAGTCCCTGTATTGGACATGTATCAAAACTCTTTGTTTGGTACTCAACTATGCCAGTTATCAAACTGTACAGATCCATCAGGTTGATACTGGTCAAGACAGCCATGGAATCCTCGTACTGGACATGTATCGAAACCCTTTGTTTGGTACTCAACCATGCCAGTTATCGAACTGTACAGATCCATCAGGTTGATACTGGTCAAGACAGCCATGGAATCCTCGTACTGGACATGTATCGAAACCCTTTGTTTGGTACTCAACCATGCCAGTTATCGAACTGTACAGATCCATCAGGTTGATACTGGTCAAGACAGCCATGGAATCCTCGTACTGGACATGTATCGAAACCCTTTGTTTGGTACTCAACCATGCCAGTTATCGAACTGCACAGATCCATCATTTTCATACTGGTCAAGACAGCCATGGAATCCTCGTACTGGACATGTATYGAAACCCTTTGTATGGTACTCAATCCAACCCGAAGTTGCACCACTTGACATCCAATGCTCTGCATGTCTATATATGTTATATCCATACCTAATAAGAGATATAACAGTAATACGCGCAATAAGTTACATTGAAAATGGAATTTCGTCTAAGTATTTGTATTTTCATTTTTTTTTTTCTTGCCGCGGTTACATGATTGCATCGTAGTAAGATTTCCAATGTGATTACCTGCGCAACCTGTTTTTCTGCGTAAATGCTTTGGGTAGGTATTATTATGGTTCGGCTGAAGACAGCAACAATATAAAACCTTTAGAGCAGTTTTCGTACGGACTGTGAAAAGCTCACGTCACATGCACGAACACGGTCGTGACACGGCAATGCACACGCAGACCATTCACATTGCACGAGAATTTACTCTCCATCCAATCAAATGCCCGAAACACGGCATGAACACGGGGCGAACACGGCCAGACCAATCACGTTGCGCGAGGGAAAAAACGCCAATCAAAAAATTATGATAAAATCATCGGTAAGGCACGCAAACGACACCGAACCTTTTTTACGTCACAGTCATACGAAACCTGCTCTATGCGTGCGGCCTCACCTGTTTCTGACATGTTTCCCCAGGTTTTCAGGTACGTTGACCCAGTCTCCACAGAACTGAACCTTTGTTGGCCTGACACCCATGTTTGTGAGTCTTTCTGAATCCATCTTGTGTTGTCCATACATTTGAATGTACCATCCATCAGCAAGGATTTCTATCTTCCCCCCAGCCATACGGCCTTCTACACAACACCATGGCGAACCTAACAAGGTAAAAAATCAAACAGTTCGGTATGCACTTGGCTGAGATTGAGCAAGAGAACGGATTAAAAAGGGCTGGGAATTCGAAGAACTGTCCGTATACGGTATGTACCCGGGTGTAGTCCCGTTTCGTATCAATCTTATCCTGATCTATATATGAGGGGGCTGCCAAGATTTCTCGACTTGGCTTGTCAGACATATCTCGCTCGCATGCGTAGCGATTCACTCAGTCTTTAGTCGACCGATGGCAAATATCGTGTCGTGTACATAGCTGTGAAGCAAATATTTTTCTTTTGCACCAAAACAAATTTTATATTGTGTTTGCCTGCTGCGCGCGCAGCCTTCGAAGATGTAAAACTAGTTGTTTGTTCTCAGCTACTGGAAGTGAAGATACTGATTACGACATATCTAACTGTATGTGCTCGCTTACTTATATCACGTAATAGATAGCCTCTCTCCACCATTGCCTTCTTTGTTTCTTTAATCTTTTCGTAATCAGACGTCAAAAATGTGATATCAGCATCTCTCTCCCAGGGCAGGACTTTGTTGAACTTAACCGCTCCTAACAAGGTCCCTTCTTGCAGTTCACAAATGGCATTATTACTGTCACACTCTGACATGATGAACTTGATGGCATCGGCTAAATTCTCCAAGCAGCAAGGAGCAACAGCAAGGCCATCTCGTATAACGCATCTGTCACCTGACCTATGCTTGACGTCACGGCGACAACCAGCAGCAGTTAGGCGGAAACGCGAAGCGCCGGCATTGCCAAAAATCACAAGTCGAAAAACACCAGGGGGGGGGG